CAAGGCATTGTGGCATGCCCATCCCTCTTGGGGCCAGCAGGTGGTGTGGTGGATGAGAGGGCTGGACTCCCACATGGCCAACCAGTTCAAATCCTGGATCAAGCAACTTGCCTTCTCGCTTTCCCTCTCTCGAGTTCTCTGTCCCTCTCTGGTCAAATTAAATGAATAAATAAATAAAGTTAAATAAAATAATTCTTTGAGGGGCTGGCAGGTGGCATGGTGGTTAAAAGCACTGAACTCCCACATGGACCGTGGTTCAATTTTTGGACCTGGAAAATAATAATAATAATAATAATAATTAAAGTTAAATAAAATAGTTATAAATAAATAATTCTTTTTAAATAAATAAATTAACTTAAAAAACTGAACAAACTAATAATAGGAGGGAACTTTTTCAATCTGAAAAAGAACATCTACAAAAATGTTTAATTAATTTAACATAATTTTTTTTTTTTTTGAGAGGTTTTTGCTATAAGGCATTTGTGCTCTCCAGGAAGACAGAAAGAAACAGAGAGACAGAAAGTGAGAAATCACTCCCCAGGGGTGATGGCCACGCCACAATCCCTTCTCCTCCATTCTCCTCTCGGGATCTTGGGCACACACGCACATGCACCCGGCATAAGTTTAAGCCATCAGGTTCGGGACTTGAACCGCAGTGGACTACATGAAAGTCCAGCGTCATAGCTATTAAGCCAACTGCTGGTCTCATAACATAATATTTAACATTGTCTTGGTGTTTCTAGACAATGGGGGGGACATAAAGACTAGAAACAAAAAAAATGCCCCTATTCTTAGGATCATTATTTACTGAGAAAATCCTAAGGAAACGTTACCCTCTTCCAAGTGATCAAGGTCAACATCAGTGGTGATAAGTCATACTGATAACATACATTTTTACCCTTAAAAGCTGTGATAAGGATGGTACCTTGTCTCTGTGGTCTTCCACCAAAAAGCCCATAATCCCAGTGTAATTGTAAAAAACATTAAACAAATTCCAGTAGAGAAACATCCTACAAAATATCTGACCAGTACTCATGAAAACCGTCAAGTCATCAAAAAACAAGAGGAATCAAGGAGAAAAGAGAGGCAAGACATTTAAGGGAAACAGAAATGGAGGACTGTTTGTTGATGATAACGTGTATGATAATATCTTTAACTGGACTGGTGTGCAGTGTATTCATGCTGGGAAAATTCATTTTACAAGCTATCATAATGTACAGTGATTGAATTATAAATCTTTAAAAATTTGAAAATTAAAAATGAAAAGAAACATATAAAAAATAATTAAAAAAAAGAGAGAGAGAAAACTCACAGGCAAGAAGAACAAGTAAAGGAAGACAGAACAACTAAATGTAACATGGCATCCTGGATAGGGTCCTAGAAAGAAATGGATACTAGGTAAAAATTGAGGAGATGGGTATTAAAGATGGACTACAGTTAGTAATAATGTATTAATATTGTTTTAGTAATTGCAAGAAATGTGCCATACAAATCTAAGATTTTTCTATT